CTTCAGAAACTTCCACCATGTGAATGCCAACTGGTTCGGCATAATGTGCCTCCATCTGCAGTGGGTTGGTGTCGATTTTCATTGCTGGTTTATCAGCAAATTTCAGCCTTCCTTCCTTCAGCGCTTGTTGGACGAGATCCCTGAAAAGGAAACATTGTGAGGTTTTATGTCCCAAAAAACTGTGGTATTTACAAAAACCTCTTTTCTTTCTCTGTTCTAAAGCAGGAAATTTTGCCCCTGGGGGCACTATCATCTGGCCATCTTTAACTAATAGATCAAATATCTCGTCACATTTGGATATGTCGAAACTATAGGTTTTCTTAGGAAATTTGTCACTGTTTTTCTCAGGCTCTACAAGATTCTTCCCATTTGATGGCACTAACAGTTTACAAGAATATGGTGGTCCTTGTTTTAATTCTGCCAAGTCTATTTCGCCTTCTTCGACATCTATCGGATCACTAGATGTCTCTGGATCGTTATCATCCATTTCGACATAGGCTACCCTCTCTCGTCGATGAGTTTTGGCAGCCTTAGCTTTCTCAGCTTTAAGGCGTTCTACTTGTCGAACTCTATCAGCCAGTTGGGCCATATCTCTTAGGTATCGTGTATCTAACTTTTTCCTAATCAAATAGTCCAGGCCCCCTGCTTCTATTTCGACCAATTCATGCTCAGGCACTTGGGTAAAGCATCTGGCTTTGAGTAATCGAAACCTATTTAAATACTCATCAATTGGCTCTGTAAACCTCCTCTTTACGCTATCCAATTCTTTTAGACTTATCTTGGTTTGGCCCATGTAGAATTGTTCATGGAACAATCTTTCCAATTGGTTCCAGTTGTGGATCGAATTGGCTGGGAGAGTGGTGAACCAAGTGAAAGCATTCTTGGTTAGGGAACTTGGGAAATATTTTATTCTAAGACTTTCGTTGTTTGCTATTTCCCCGACCTCGATCAAATATCTGGCCACATGTTCGACAGTCGACTCTGTCGTATCCCCTGAAAATTTAGTAAACTTTGGAACCTTTCCCCTAGGTGGTAAGTCTGCTTGCAGAATATATTCTGATAATGGGGATGTAAAGTTTGGTCTGTAAAAACCAACATTCATCCCGTTTTGCATCATAATCCTTTCGATCATGGCAGTTAGATTATTGTTCGTCCCATAGTTTTGGTGCCGAACTTGCTGTATTAATTCGTCAGCATTTTGGTTTCTATTAGCCATAATAACTCCTTGATCGATTTCTCTAGGGTGTCGTGGTACTTCGACCCTTAGTTGTTCTATTTCTACTCTAGGAATCTGGGGGTTTGGATTAACGGTCAAATCCTCTTCCATAATTACCCCTTGATTTGCTATTATTGGCATTCTCTAGGGTTGTCGAACAACTTGGGGTACTCCAAAGAATTCAGCCATGCACGTCATTTGCACTGTCATCTGTTGATTCGACTGCGTAGAAGTATGGATGAGGGGGTTTAACACTGTACTTAGAGTTTGTGCTAACATTTGTACCATATCATGATTACTCTCGTCCATCTGGTGCCTCAAAATTGCTGTTGAAACATTCGTGAGGCTTGGTATTACATGAGATGGCCCTCCCAAAAATTGGTTTCGACTGGCTCCAGACCCCTGTAATGGCGATGTTGCATTCACCAAAGGTTCTGAAAAAGTGGAAGCAACATTCATAAGGCTAGCCATTTCAGTAGTTGGCATGCCATATGGTTGCTCTCGACCCATCCAGGTTGTCGAAAATCCTGGGGGCACAAATGATCGGGATCCTAGGTTTACCCTTGGTGGGGGCGTTCCTAATGGACCTCTTGGACCTACATATGAAAGTAAGGGTCCAGTTTGATTTGTAGTTAACGTTGGTATTGATCCAACAGAGGTTGGGATATTTCCTTCGACAACGGTATTAACCACTGTTCCAGTAATTGGTGGAGGTATTTCTCCATGATTTGGCTCGTTGGCCATACTACTCTCGCTATTTTTGTTCCTAACAGTATGGTTGTTGGTTACTTTACCACTTCTCAATAACATGCAATGTTATAACTGTACAGGAAAAACACTTTAACATAAACAAGATTTTTAATAAAAATTAGCAACGTCCCATCAGGTGTGCCAATTTGTTTACCGTGGTTTTTGGTAAACAACCACTGATCTCCAAAAAGGAAAGTGCTTTTTGGTTTACTTACGGGATCGATCAGGTTAATCCCAAAACATATGCTAATTTTTATGTAAGACGGATAAACAGGAAGAACGTACGTTCGACCCAGAGAAAAGATGTTTGAGATTTTGGAAGAATGGACAGGAAAGTAGAAAATGCAGGTAAAGAAGTAAGAAAGATAACTTTGCAAGATAATATTAAAGTAATGTAAAAGACTTTCATTAATAAAAAGAGGTGTTTCCAACGTATATTTCTCATTTTTATCCTTTCTCACGCAGCGGTTACTTGGATAGTGTTTGAGTGACTAGTACAAAATAGTTGAACACCTCTAAAAAACTACACAAGTTTCCTAATTTATACTAAAGATAAGTAACCGTCGAGGGATCATCCTGCGCTAGGATGAAGACAAGTGTCTTCTGCATGTCCCTCGGCCTATGGCTTTCAGCCACGTTGCTTCTCCTTAGCCGCTGGCGAAACTGCCTTTCCCTCCAATAATTCAAAATTCAAATATCCCTCGTATCATGTGTCAAGCGAAGATATTTTCTCTCCGTCGAAAGACATAAGTCCTCTTCAGTTGAACAGGCCTGAAGGTGAGTTCTGGTCGAACGTTCAAAAATAACTTAGATTTTCCTCCTAAGTTATTTCATATGTCGAATATTCTTCTTGTCTTGGTTTATTCCAGTTTTTTGGTCTAAAAGACCAAATATAGTAAGTGTCGAATTTGGGAGCCAACAGCTGGTCCCTTTCCAATGTGGGGTGTCGCCCGATTAGTCGGGGAGAAGGGCTTTGAGAGATGTCTCGATTACGTCTCTGCGATGGAGATTGGGGACGTTCCTCTGCTTGTCGAGGAGGAGGAGATCGGGGTCTCCTGTGTCTTCTGGGGGCTCTCCGATCATCTTCAAGCGCCCTCAATCTTTCTCCTTGAGCGAAGATCAGGTAGTTGGTCTGATTTATCACCGTAAACAGTGCCCTGGTCGTGGCGTCTGCTCCGGCGGAAACGGGGACCTCATGGAACTGAATGGGTTGGTAGTTCTGGGGAGGTGGCCGATCATCTTCGAGTCGTGGAGGCAGTGATGATGACGAAGCAGTTTCTCCGTCTCTATAGTCAGAAGACCCAAACATATTAATGGCGGGGGATGTGTTGTGGTCGACGGTACCGGTGTTGTCGAGACCGACATTATTGTCGGAGATGTTATTGTTGACGTCGATGATAGGGACATTCATGTTTTCTACAGTCTGGTTAGCCATGACAGTCGGGGATTATTTAGCTTTGGTCTCGAGTAAACGGAAGACGGGGAAGCAAGATTCCCACAGACGACGCCACTGATCTTACCGAATAAGAATGGACCGTCACAACTAGCTTGGGCAGAAGTTGAATGAGATGGGGGGGGTACCTGCAAGATACTCCGATGGCAAAGTAAGTTGCGGAATGAGCAAGCAAGTGTAAGAGTTAGAAAGTGTTGAATACTTGACCCTCTTAGGAGAGAGGGTATTTATAGCCCCCAGCACTGAGCCAATGTCCCTATTATTGGGTCACGTTGAGGCCCAATAACAGGAACTACCAGGGCTTACGTGTGTATGGAGTCCAGCAAGTGGACTCCCCCCTGGTCAACTGCTTCGCGAGAATAGGGTTTGACCCGTGATTTCCCGAGGGCAGTTTAAGATGACTGTCGTGGAATCGTGGGTCATGTCCTCCAACGATTGTGTGGGGAGTTGTCCAACGATCCCTAACTTGAGCTCTATTTTTTAGCTTCCCATTCGAAGGACAAGTGTAGGCCCAATCCAGATCACCTTTGTAATTATAATATTTTTTGTTTATCCCTCTAAGCGTACAAATTAAACACTAAATATGGATGCAAAATTTTTTACATGGATAATTTTTATATTTAGAGAGCAAAACACATAAAATTTGAACATTTAAATGAAGTGATTCAAATTTTTTTATAGGAGTAAATCAAAATTCACCTATATTATAAGAGAATATTATATATTTCACCCATAAAATAAAATATTAATGTAGTTACTTTTTGATTATAGCAAAATATAATTAAAAAAAAACTTTTATTTTAGGCTCTACAGTTAATTAATATACCATTTTACATTTATTTGATTTTTTTTTCTTTTAAAAACAGTTCCATAGTTGATTACATTCTATATTTTTTCTAATTTAATTAGTAATAATATATAAAGTAGTCAACATTACAATTATTTTTAAAAATATTTTAGACCCCACAAAAATCTCCAATTTTAAATATTAGTTTATGTTAAATGCATTTTCTTTTTTTTCATATTAATAATATGGTTTTCCAAATGCAGGGAAAACAGCTTATAAAAAAATGGTATTTTAAATTCTTGCGTTTGTTGACAGCTAAGAAAATGTTTGAAGTCCACATCTAGAATGTTCAAATTCAAAATTCACTATTAAAAATTATTTTTAAATGGTATATTTATATATATGAATAATTTTATAAATTAAATTCTTTAAGGAAAATTATTACAATAGACAATACATTAAAATATTAAATTGTATATTTAAAAAATTCATAATATAAAGAAATAATTGCCAAATGATTAAATAAGTTTAATAATTGCCAAATATTGACCAATTTTCTTTCTACAAATATTTTTTTCCATTTTCCAAGCTCATTTCATTTGCTAGAGTCACAAACCAAGGCAATCTGTGAATCAGATTCGTTGAGTACAAATCAAACGAACCACGTTTCAAGTTAGTGATTGTGAAGAAAGATGATCAACCGTTCGATTCGATTAGCTTGTTTTGAACTCTGACTATAAAACCCTTCACTCTCTAGCAAACAATTTCAATTTTCAAGATACAACAAGGTAGCAATGGAGAGAACACTGTTCTTGAAACTATTCACTTTTTCAGCACTTTTATTATGTTCAGTTACCTCATCATCATCGAAATCATCATCAATAGATACACTCAAACTGGTAAATGCATCCAGGCTTGAAATGTTTGTTGATAAGCTTCCCGATATGCCAAAAATCTATGGCTACGATGTTGTTGATGGCGTTCCCAAATCAAAGTCGCTCAAGATTGGCATGTTCAAGAAAAAATGGGTATGTGCTGATTTTGTTCATCAATTAGTACTCAAGTGTGTTTTTCTAGTGAAAATATTTTATTTTATTTTTACAATTTTGACGTTAAACTTCCTCATGATTATTTTTTTTTGTTAAAGATTTTGCATGTGAATATCCGCCTTCTGTGTTTTGTTTTTATTGTGTAATTTTAAAATATCTAATTTGCTTGTTTCGATAATTGCCAAGACTTGACCAACGTACTTCATGAATTATTGAAGCTGTGTGATGATATAGCCGATAGCTGTATATGAATCTTGTAGGTAATTTTTGTGTGGTTTGATATGGCTCACATGATTTTTGATAGTAGAAAGTTTTCTGTTTTTGAATTGTTTTTAATCTATCAAATGATTATTTTTTAAAATTAATACTACTAATTTCTTTAAAATAAGTTTTTTAATTAGTTATTCAATAAATATAAAACTTTAAAAATGTGTTTTAAAGATGATTAGCGATATAATATGTTAATTTTTTTAATAATAAATAATGAAATAATTATATAAATTAAAATACAATAAATAAACATAAATTAATGAAAAGAAATAATAAATATTATTTTAATATTCTAAATATATATATATATATATATATATATATATATATATATATATATATATATATATATATATATATATATATATATATATATATATATATATATATATATATATATATATATATATATATATTATGAAACAGAGAGTATTGATTATAAAAAAATAAATTAGAATATAGTGGACCACATGCTCTAAAAAGATGTTACGTATTATTATTTGTTCCTCCCAACTTTGTAAGTGCCATCCACTCAAGCAATGACAGTGATAGTGATAACTCATTCCCCACTTTGAAGCATTGTTTAATTTTCTACTCACGTTGTTATCATAGTCTTAAATTAATTAATTTCAGCATTATTTTCAACGTTTAATAGTATTCATCTGAATTTATTATATGTCATTTCAAATTTATTTGACTTTATGAAATCTAACATGCACTACAACTTTTAATTTATTTGCAGAAATTCCACAGAGATCTTCCCCCAACAACCGTTTACGCTTACGGATTAACCAAACAAAAAGCAACTATTCCTGGTCCAACAATCGAAGCCCTCCACAGAATCCCCACCCACGTGACGTGGCAAAATCACCTCCCTCCAAATCACATTCTTCCCTGGGACCCAACAATCCCCACAGCCTTAACCAAAACCACCCACGGCATCCCCACCGTGGTCCACCTCCACGGTGGAATCCACCACTCCGAAAGCGACGGAAACGCCAACTCATGGTTCACTTCCAAATTCAAAATCAAGGGACCCACTTGGACAAACAAAACATACCACTATTCAAATAATCAACACCCTGGAAATCTATGGTACCACGATCACGCTATGGGGTTGACCAGAGTCAACCTTCTCGCTGGCTTAATCGGGTCCTACATCATACGTCACCCGAAAATTGAATCTCCATTACAATTACCTCACGGTGACGAATACGATCGACCGTTGATTCTCTTCGATCGCACCTTCAAAACCGACGGTTCGATTTACATGAACTCAACCGGAAACAACCCTTCTATCCATCCACAGTGGCAACCGGAGTATTTCGGTGACGCCACTATCGTTAACGGAAAAGCTTGGCCGAGTTTAACCGTACGACGTCGTAAATACAGATTCCGTATAATCAACGCAAGCAACGCCAGATTCTTTAGATTGTTCTTCACCAACGGTTTAAGATTGGTACACGTGGCATCTGATTCTGCTTATATTACAAAACCAGCTGCAAGTAATAGAACTCTTGTGGGGCCATCTGAGATCACAGATTTTATAGTTGATTTTTCGAAATCCAAGAGTAATGTAGCTATTCTAGCTAATGATGCACCGTATCCTTACCCATCCGGTGATCCGGTTGATGAATTAACCGGTAATGTTATGAAATTTATCATCTCACCGGATAAAGAGGTTGACACGTCACGTATACCGAAGAACCTTGTGGAGTATCCGGTTGCTGATATATCCGGTGTGTCGCAGACACGGTACATTGCTATGTATGAGTATACTAGTAATATAGATGAACCCACTCATTTGTATCTGAATGGGAAACCTTATGATGCTCCAGTTACTGAAACTCCGAAGGCGGGATCCACTGAAGTTTGGTATGTGATTAACTTGACAGATGATAATCACCCGCTTCATATTCATTTGGGGTTGCTTAAGGTGTTGGATCAGACGGAGCTTGTGAAAGCTGACGAATTTAAGGATTGTATGACCAAAATTAACGATGCTGTTAAGTGCCACGTGGATAAGTATGCAAGTGGGAAGAAAGTTAAGGTGCCTAATTATGAGAAAGGGTGGAAGAATGTGTTTAAGATGAGGCCTGGGTTTGTGACTAAGATTGTTGTCAGGTTTGGTTATATTCACACCAATGCGTCGTATGAGTTTGATGCAACCGCAGGACCTGGTTACGCGTATCATTGTCATGTAACTTCTTATTTATTATTTACAAAAATATACTTGTATTTTGATACTTATTGTGTTAGTGCATTGCAATGCATGACATATTGTCATTTTTATGCAGATATTGGACCATGAAGACAATGCTATGATGAGACCGTTGAAGATTATTAAGTGAAGCTTCTCCTATGAGACCCAACAATGGTAACATGTGAGTATAGGCTATATTTGTTTCTTATGCTTTATCCATGCTTAATGATTTAGCTCACAGGTTGATTTTGTATTGTAGGAAAATGACATCCATGTAACATGATGTGGTAATCATGCAGTTGCTTTCTTGTGACCACTCAGAAGCTAGATAGTCCATAGGTGATTCACATCAAAATAATACATATACCACAAATTGTGTAATAGTGTGTCCAAAATTATGCACTTCTTTGATTCATAAAAATTAGCAAGGAAGTTTTTACTATATAGTTGAATAAAATAGTAAAATGTAGTGAGATTAAATGTATTTGCTTTTGTGATGAATTTGGGACATAGCATAAGCAAAATTATGATCGGTCCTTATGAGAACTAATATTCCTTACAATAGAGGGATTCGTAAGTTTGATCTGGAGTCTGATTTTATGATGGTGAATTGATAATTTTAGGAGGGTTGTCAATCCCTCAACTGTTGTGTTTTTGAGATGTAATTGTTTGCTTTACATATGGTTAATAGTTATGATTGATCTATTTGATTTTGTTCATTCTTTATTATATTTGTTTGTTTAATATGGTTGATATTTATGTTGAGGATACTAGTGGATGAGATTTATCTAGAAGCTTCAGATGCACTCAACTCCATGTTGAAGCTGCAACTTGGTTCAATCAAGGTTTTATTTTAAAAAAGCATCATTAACATTGAGCATTAACATAATACTCTTTTTTATGCAAGATTGTATGCTTTGTGTCAAGAAAGTGTAAACATCGCATTCAAAAGAGTTTGAAAGAGTGAATTTGACAAGGTTGCATGTGGATGCTCCATTATAACAACTCATGATCTTTCTTGTGCATGTGAATTTGCATCTCTTTAAGTACAAGGAGAGCATGTTCCATTGGATGTCATTTATATATTTTGGAGGAAATTACACTCAGAAAAGCAAGAGTCATGTCCTTGGTTCGAATACATTTAGATAAAGGAGTTTTCATTAATAAAGGTGTTTATACCAATTTGTTTTATGACTCTGTTTCAGAGGTTAGGAATTCCTTAACGATGTCTAGCATTAGGTGTTATGAGGCGAGACAAATGGATGACCATTATAAATATCAGTTATCCAATTGCTTCTCAATACATTCTAAATATCGATTATCCAATTGCTTCTCTTACATTGTCCACAAAAATTGAACATCAACTTCTTCCCACATGGATACTCTCTAACTATATCATTGTGTTGACATAAACTTATTATAGTCGGTTTTGTCAACAACTATCGTTGAATTTAGTTGAAGTTGAGGCATGATTTTCCATTGCCTCTAGTCACCAACCATTTGAGAGTGAAGTGTAATGAAGGTGTAAGAGAATGTGAATTAGCATATGTGGGTCGGATAATACATTTTGAAAGTGAAGTGTAGTGAAGGTGTAAGAGAATGGAAATTAACATATGTGGGACATATAAGGCATTCAAAACATGAAATTAGAGTAAGCGAATCGATGAAACTACATGTGGATCCGCTTGAACCAATAGTTGGAGTCAATTACGACTTTTACATTTGTATGATTTAGATTGCACTGACACTTTTGTATGGTCGAGATTGCATTAAAAAATTTGTATGGTCTACAATAATTTATATGTTACATAAATATGCATAAGTTGTTCCTAGAAAATCATAAGAATAATGAATCAATATATTTTTTGATAATGACAAGCTACTAGTCAATACTTAGGCGCGGCAACGGGTGATCTTCACTTGTATTTGAGGAATTTCCTTAAAGTTGCTAGCAATTTTAAGATTTTTGAAGTCATTGATGAGTCACTGACGACGCTTATAAGTTGATATTATTTCCCTATTCTCTATGGAATAAAGCTAAAAGTTGACTCAATTTATTGGAATCTGTTGAAGATTAGCATATATCAAATCATAATCATTTGATTCTGATTTGTCAAGCTGTTACAAAACAGTGGTGTAAATAGATTTATTATCTTTTATTCTGATTTCCTTATTTAGGTAGCAACAATTATAGGAAATTATTTCTCTGTTTATTAACAAATTAGTGTACTGTATTCTATATATACCTCACAATGTAACAGTTCCAGAATAATGAAATATACAACGTATTTCTATATGGTATCAAAGCATAAGATCTGAACCATCCCTAAACCTTGAGCACCACCCATGGCAGATACTAAAGCAGAAAATTCAGCCAACAGTTTGGCCGAAGGACATGCTCTTCCTATCATTGGTCACAAACTGAATGGCCAGAATTACAATCAATGGGTGCGCTCAGTCAAAATCTACCTTCAAGGAAAACGGAAGGAAGGTTATATCACAGGAGACTCCAAGTGTCCAAAAAAGGGGGATTCCAACCTTGAAAAATGGCAACTAGAAAACAGTCTAGTAATGTCATGGCTGCTAAACACCATGACAAATGAAATTGGAGAAAATTTCTTGTACTATGATACTACCAAAGAGATGTGGGATGTCGTAAAGGAAACCTACTCTAATGTCGACAATACATCTGCAATATTTGAAATCAAGAGCATACTCCATGACTTGCGTCAAGAAGACCGCTCAGTCACAAAGTATTTTAATACTCTCAATCGTCACTGGCAGCAACTGGATGTATATGATGAAGTTGAATGGAGTTGCACAGAGGATAAAAAGAAGTACAAAGAATTGGTGGAGAAAGATAGAATCTACAAATTTCTCTTAGGTTTGAACACAGAACTTGATGAAGTTCGTGGGAGAATTCTTGGAACCAAACCTCTTCCAAAAATTCGAGAAGCATTCTCGGAAATACGAAGAGAGGAAAGCAGGAGAAAAGTGATGCTTGGAAAATCCAGTGCAGCCCCATCTATAGAAGGATCTGCAATGGCAGCAAGGGGAGATCATCGATCTTTCCAAAAGAAAACACGGCCATGGTGTGACCATTGCAAGAAACCGGGTCATACCAAAGACACATGTTGGATCATTCATGGAAAGCCATCAGAGCTAAAATGGAGCAAAAACCGGGACAGTAGAGGGAACACAGTTGAGGTAAATTCTCACTCATCACCATTCAACAAGGAGTAAATGGAAGCCTTATAAAAACTGCTTCAACAAATAATTGGTACAGCTACTGTGGCACAAAAAGGTAATTTTTTGCACGCTCTAAACACTAGCAGGGGAAAACAAAAATCATGGATTATTGACTCAGGAGCATCTGATCACATGACTGGAGATTTGACTGTCTTTGATAGCTATTCTCCATGTCAAAATAATCCGACTGTTCGAATTGATGATGGTACCCTTTCTAAGGTCATGGGTAAAGGTTCAGTCATTATTTCGCAAAATATTACTCTTAGTTCAGTACTGTATGTGCCTAAACTTGATTGTAACTTGCTGTCCATAAGTAAACTTACAAAGGATTTGAAGTGTATCACTAAATTCTTTCCTAACCTGTATGAATTTCAGATTTTGGAGTCGAGGAGGACGATTGACAATGCTAAAGAATGTGCTGGACTCTATATCCTTCAGGCTGAAGCATCTAAACCAGAATTCGAGGCAACCTCTTGCGCTGTAGTTTCTGCATGTAGTGAAAATTCTGCAATGTTGTGGCACTATAGACTAGGCCACCCAAATTTTATGTACTTGGAAAAAATGCTTCCTAAACTATTCAATAAAAATCAGAAGTTGTTTCAATCTGAAATTTGTCAATTGTCCAAACATACACGCAACCCCACCCACCTCAACCCTATAAACCTTCCCAACCTTTTTATGTTATTCATAGTGATGTATGGGGACCATCGCGGGTCAGAAATGTAACTGGAGCAAGATGGTTTGTCACATTTATCGATGACCACACACGGATTACTTTGGTCTACCTTATGAAAGATAAATCGGAAGTTGGAAGGATATTTGAATGTTTCCATACCATGGTGCAAACACAATTTCAAAGTAAAATTAGAGTGCTTAGGAGTGATAATGGTCGTGAGTACTATAATTCTGCACTAAGCTCATACTTTACGCAACATGGAATAATACACCAAACCTCATGTGTGGATACACCTCAGCAGAACGGGGTTGCCGAGAGAAAGAATAGACACCTCCTAGAAGTAATCCGATCTCTCATGCTAGCTACAAATGTACCTAACCAGTTTTGGGGAGAAGCTGTCCTCTCTGCAACCTATCTAATAAACAGAATGCCTTCCCGAATCCTTAACTTTCATACGCCTTACTCCACTCTCCAAACCTTATACCCAACCAATCGTATTCTTACATCTATTCCTTTGAAAATATTTGGATGCACAACCTTTGTCCATAATCTTGATCCCCAACGCAATAAACTTGACCCGAAATCCATTAAATGCATATTCCTCGGTTACTCTCCTCACTAAAAGGGATACAAATGTTATTCACCTCAAAACAAAAAATTCTACAACACCATGGATGTAACCTTTTTTGAGAATCAGCCATATTACCCCAAAGTTGGCATTCAGGGGGAGAACACATATCCAATTGAAGTGGTAGAATCCCAACTTTTGGAACTTGAGCTAACTGAACCCAAACTCACTGCAGAGGCATCAAAACCTACACCTGAACCAAATGAAAATGCAACAAAAACTGCAGAACTTACATGTGGACCAGAAGAAACTACGTTAGAAAATACATAGGAAATTGCAGTAGAAACTGCAGCCCCTATAACAGAAACTGCACCAGGAAACAACATGAAAGTGTACTCCAGGAAGAACAAGAAGGGAATAGAGTCCTGCACAACTCCAAGGCAGAACCAAGAAACCTCCAAGACTTCAGAAAATGGTGTTCCCTCAGGTAATACTGCTCCTAACTCTGTGAATGTTGATATTGATATTCCTATTGCGTTGAGAAAAAATGTAAGATCCTGTACCAAACATTCCATTGAAAGATTTATATCTTATGGAAAATTGTCCCAAAGTTACACGACTTTTGTAACAGCTCTTGACAATACACATATTCCAA